ACAGCCCAGCCAGTGGGCGAGGTGCTGGGCGTCTGAGAGTCCGATTTACAGTCAGGCGCCCAGAACAGCACCGGGATCTACCACGGGCCTTGTGGGTGCGACTAGGGGAAGAGCGACAGGCACAACACAGAGAGGACGGAGGGACGTCACAGCCATGGGGTCTTACCGCTGTACGAAGCCCAGTGCATTGGTGAGTAGCCACAGCCCAGCCAGTGGGCGAGGTGCTGGGCGTCTGAGAGTCCGATTTACAGTCAGGCGCCCAGAACAGCACCGGGATCTACCACGGGCCTTGTGGGTGCGACTAGGGGAAGAGCGACAGGCACAACACAGAGAGGACGGAGGGACGTCACAGCCATGGGGTCTTACCGCTGTACGAAGCCCAGTGCATTGGTGAGTAGCCACTGTAATCCACTACGGAGTCCAGAGGGTCAGTAGAGAGCGCTGCCTGCAGCAAGGTCCTCAGGATTTCGGAATGCCCGCACGCCGACGCAAAATGGATAGGGGTCCGACCCTTGAAATCCCGACACAGTACAAAGGCATCATGGTCTAGAAGGGCTCCCAGGCAGTCCTCACACCCGGTCACCGGGAGAGGCGGCACCTCCGGCCCAGCGGGAAACCGTGTGCCATGCCCCGGGCAGGATGCGTTACCGCCACCTCGGCCGGGATCGCCGTGGAACGGCAGGAGGGAGGCGCGGACTGGCCAGCGGCTCCTCCGCTGGGAGGCGCTCTAGGAAAAAGGTTCCTAGACATGTTAAACAACGGCAAACCAGGCTGTCCTGTCCTGCTGTTCTCAGAGGCGGCTGGGGCTGACGCACGCCCCAAAAGTTCAGCCTGAGGCAGGCGCCTGGCAAGCCCGAAGGGCTGAAGTTAGGCAAAGGAACGGCAACCAAGGTCTTATAAGGGAGAAAGTTGCTCCTGGGACAAACGGACTTGCAGGGAAACCAGAGAGCCGCCCGGAGTGCCGTCACGCTCACTCACCCCTCGATGCAGCGCGGTCCTGCCTCTTCTGTCTGCTGCATCTGCTGTGGACCCCTTCTCCAGCAAGAGATGGGCGCAGTCGACATGGCCGTTCATGACTGCCAGCATCAGCGGGGTTCTGCGGAGGGGACACAGGAGAAGGAGGTTGGCTTGGGAAGGGCGGAGACTGTTTGCAAGTTTAAAAATCTCGGTTTCGCAGGGACTCCTGGGTTCTGCCCCAGCTCTGGGAGGTCAGTGCTGCCTAGGGGTGAGAGCAGGAGAGGCGGTTTGGGGCAGGCGGCCTGGGAGTCCTGAGCATTATACCCAGAACTGCCGCTGATTCGCTGCATGAGCCTGAACTCCTCACTTTTCCTTGCCTCGGTTTCCACTTGCAGCAAGCCGGGCTTAGGGGGGTTGGGAGCTTCAGTTCTTTGCAAAGCACTTTGGGAAGGCCCTCAGGGGACCGTCACTGGGCAGTAGCCGTTTGGCAAGCCACACGCTGCTCTGGGGCAGCGAGGACGTCCTCATGCAGACAACCGCTATTAATGACACCCCCGAACGGACTCACTGGCCGTGGATGTCCATGACGTCAGCAATATCCGCCCTCTCCCCGCTGTCGATCAGAAGGTGGAGGGAATCCGTGTTCCCAGAGGCAGCTGTGGGGCACACACAAGGGCAGGAGGAGTTAGAGACGCACACAGGGTTTGGGGAAGCAGCAGATGTGCTAGACCTTGATCTTAGCAGGGCTTTTGACACAGTGCCACGGGACAGTCTCATAAGTAAACCAGGGAGATGTGGTCCCAAGTGAAAGTAGGGATGTTCAATTTCGGTTAATCAATGCAATTTCCATTGACTGTTTGATTAGGTGATAAGGGCGTGTCCGCCAGTGAAGTGTAGCAACAGCCCCAGGGCTGTAGTTACACTTTACAGGCAGAAGCACTATGGGGAGCACGGGGCCAGCAGGGAACTCAAGCAGTGCCCCGCTGATCCTGGGCTCCCCACAGTGTTTCAAAGCGGCAGCGCCGCATGGAGCCCAGGGTCAGCGGGGGAGTCCCCAGCGGATGCACGCGGCGTTTCAAAGCGGCAGACTCCGGGCCCCATGTGGCGTTTCAAAGTGGCAGACTCCGGGCCCCATGCAGCGTTTCAAAGCGGCAGACTCCGGGCCCCATGTGGCGTTTCAAAGTGGCAGACTCCGGGATGCACGCGGCGTTTCAAAGCGGCAGACTCCGGGCCCCACGCAGCGTTTCAAAGCGGCAGCGCTGCATGGAGCCCAGGGTCCACGTGGCACTGCCGCTTTGAACCACCTCCTCCTTTTTCTCCCTCCCTTCCTGCCTCTTTCTGATAAAGGCAGCAGCAGGGAAGGGGGGGGGGGGGGAAGCAACTAGTCGACTAGTGCGTAGACTATCCGACAAGCATTTGCTTATTGGACAGACGACTAGTCGTTCACATCCCTAAATGGAACTCTTGTAAAGTGGGTGCCCCACCAGCTGAGACAGTGTATTCCGAAGGCAGTTATCGATGGCTCGCTGTCAAATGAGAAGAGTGACTCTAACGGGATGCCAAAAGGGTCAGCCCTGGGTCTGGTACTAGGCAATATTTTCATGAGTGACTTGGATAGCAGAATAGTAATAGAAATGTAGCCGTGTTAGTCTGGGGTAGCTGAAACAAAAGACAGGACTATGCAGCACTTTAAAAGACTAACAAGATGGTTTATTAGGTGACGAGCTTTCGTGGGCCAGACCCACTTCCTCAGATCAAATTGTGGAAGAAAATTGGCATGACCATATGTATCCTTTCGTTCATTTTTTTGATTGTATCCTTTGGTATATATGGTCATGCCAATTTTCTTCCACAATTTGATCTGAGGAAGTGGGTCTGGCCCACGAAAGCTTATCACCCAATAAACCATCTTGTTATTCTTTAAAGTGCTACGTAGTCCTGTTTTTTATATTGGATAGCAGAGTATGGTCACACAATCTGGGGGGGACACCACACTGGAAGGGGGGGAAGCGCTTGGGAGGACTGGATTGGAATTCCAAACGACTGATAAATTGGAGAATGTATCTGAAATCAACAAGCGGAAATTCAATCGCAGGGCGAAATGCTACGCTTCGGGAGGAACAATCGGTGGCCCACATACAAAATGCGAAATGGCTACCTAGGAAGGAGCACGGCGGAAAAGGATCTGGGGTTGTAGTGGGCCACAAATTGAATGTGAGTCAGTTGCATGATGCAACTGAGAAAAAAGACTGATATTCTTGGGTGCCTTAAGGGAAGCGTCTTAGGTCAGATGCAGGAGGTAGCTGTCATGCTCTACTCGGCACTGGTGAGAGCTCGGCTGGGAAACCGTGTCCGGCTTTGGGCGCCACGCTCTCAGAAAGATGTGGACAAGCTGGAGAGAGTCCAGGGGAGAGCAACAAAAATGATCTAAAGGCCATAAAACTGGACCAACGAGGTTTAGTCAGGAGCAAATACAACTGAGGGCGACGGCCCCATTCGTGACCTCAAAAAGAGACGGTACAACATCCCGAGCCAGGCAGGCAGTCTGCAACTCTGGCGGGGGTCAAGCGGGACTGGACTTGGAAGGGCTGGCTCGGCAGCCAAGAGCCCAGGAGGACGTGTGCGGTACCCGATCCACTGACCGACCCAGCGGAGATGCCTACCTGCAGCATGGAGCGGCGTCCACTTCTTCTTCTTCTCCTTCACCAGGGCGGAGGCGCCGTGGCTGGTGAGCACCTCCACACACTCCGTGGAGCCCCGCTCCGTGGCAAGGTACAGCGCCGTCCGCCCTTTGTGGTCCCGCACGTCGAGGTTCACGAGGGTTTCGGCAAGCGTCTTTAGAGCTTCACAGTGACCGTTATAGGCCTGGCGGCAACACAGAACACAACCCTTTAGGAAAGAAGCTGGACTCACGCCGGTCAGGAGGAACAAAAATTCCCCACCACCGTCAATAGTGAAAGCTAGCTGGACACCACCAGCCATGGGCACGGCCGGCAGCTGACCAAGCCCACCGCCCTGGTTACCCCCGCAGGCCAGCAAACCTGTCACGGTGCACGCTAGGGAAGGGAAGTTTGCCTGCGCAGTGTAAAATATCCCTGTTTTCCTCCTGCTGCTGTCGACTGCTTCCCTCAACCCCCAGCGACTGGCACAGCAGCACCCGACTGCCAGGCAGCTGCAATACGCCGACGCACGCCCGTATTTCCACTGAGACTGTACAAACGTCCCCAGTTACTAATTCGAAATAGGCAATTCTGCTTCGAAAACGAATTTGTCCCGGCAGCGTGACTATTGGGCTCAACGCAGGGGTAACTGGGTAGAATTATCTGGCCCACAAGGGACCAGACTAGACGATCTAACCATCTCCTCTGGCCTGACTCTCCAAATCCTTACAAAGAAACCTTCAAAAATAAGCCAAGCTTCAAAAAAGCGAGACGATGCCCAGCTGCCCATGAGACAACTGGCTAAAACCAGCCTAGACTGCAAACTCCCCTCCTTCCGTGTCTTGGACAGCACAGAGCTCAGTATCTGTGCTTGGCCATGGGGCAGCAGCCACCGTATCCAAGCCTGACCCTCCATGATCGGGGAACGGGCCTTTCCAGGGTTCCCACACGGCATCGCTGGAAGCAAAGCCAACCTTACTCAGGACCCTGTAGCCTTTACGTTCACTTGGGGTGCACAATGCACGTCACGTACAGCAGGCTCAGTGCTTGGTGGCTACTTAGAGATTAACGCGGCGGATGATCGGTGAGAGCTACAGAGCCTTTAGGAGTTTTATTACCACCACATTCAGTAGAAGCAAAATCACAGAACTAGCAACCAGAGAAGGAAACCAGGAGACTGCACGTCACAGCCACTCGCCAATTCCCAGGGCCGCGGGCTCCCCGGACGGTGAGATGAACGCGAGGCTGTCCCCACCCTGCCATCCCAAGGTCCCACCAGGGGGAGGTTGGATTCTTTCTTTAGGCGCCTGTTCGCTACCCCCCACCTACGTCCAAGACCACACTGGATTAAGTCTTGGCCTCTTGCCCGCACATGCCCCCTTTGGGATTGGATCCTTAGCAGAGACAGGCAGTTCTCTCTACGTTGCAGTTAAGGAGTCTGGCTGAACGAAACGTTCACTCTACACCGTCTAGCACAAGCTATATGTTGCTAGATCCTCTACCCCACGGTGATTTACTGCTAGACGCTCTGTTGGGCCTTCTGTGGCCTTATGCTAACTCCTCCTACCAGCAGGCCTCAAATATCAGGCTGTAGACCGGGGTGGGCAAAAGGGCCTCTGCAGGCTGGATCCGGCCCAACAAGCAGGTGGATCCGGCCCACAGAGGCCCTGTTGCAAACCCCCCCCCAGGCCAATTAGCGCCTGGGGGCAGGGGAGCGTGCGAAGCCTCCTCGTGAGAGCGGAGAAGGCTTCACTCGCTCCCCCAGGCCCTAATTGGCCTATGGGCAAAAGAGCAAGGGAAGTCTCCTCCCACACCAGGGACATGGGAACTTTAGGGGAACTTGGGGCGGGGACAAAGGCACTCCCTCACCCCTAGACCAATCATTGCTTGGGGGTGGGGAACCCGGAAATATCTTGGCCCCGCCCCCTTCCACTCGATGCCCCGCCCCTTCCTGTGTGGCCCTGGGGCCACTTCAAAAATTTTCAAAGTGGCCCCCAGCAAAAAATGATTGCCCACCCCTGCTGCAGACCCACTGCCGAGCCTATCTGCATCTAACTGTTAAGTTCCTTTGCTTATTTCTACCTGCAGACGCGCTTGGCTTTCACTTGGGCTAACTCAGCCAGCATCTGGCCTCTAAAACGTGCATGGGGATTTTCCCGACCACCTGAGCGCAGGTCAGGGGTCAAAGGTCAACCACAAACTGACTTACAGCTAAGTGCAAAGGGCTGACTGGAATGGTGCTTTCCACATCCTCCAGGCAGTTAAAGGACATTTCCAGGAGCTGCAACAAAGCAGGACACCGTAAACCCTTCAGCTCAGCCGGCGCCTCCCGTCCCAGGCTCCACGTTCCCCTCAGGGAAGGCCACTAGATTGCAGCTTGCTGTGCGGAGCTTCTGGGAGGTTGGAAACCGCACCCTGATCGCCTGAAAGCCCCACGCTTGGCACCCAGATCGGAGAAATGCCTTTCGTCGGGCCAGCGCTCCCCTCCGCGTCCACTAACGAGATTGGGCTCTACGCACGGGCACTGGAGTCCGATTCGCTTTCCCCGCGCTCCTCGCCCCTCGCGGCATCCCAAAGGGATTCCGGCACCACATGCCTTTAAAAATGGCCTCACCGCCCTTCCCCCAGGGGGACTGCTTCCATGCACCCTGGAAGAGAGCCGTCTTCCAGGAGCACATCTCCGGGCCCGTCGGAGGCACCCAGCACCCCAGTGCCAGTCACTGCCACCCGGTCATTTGGGGGCGGGACTGAGAGCAGGCAGGTCTGTGCTCACCAGACACCAACTCTCCTCTCTGCCGCCATCTCACCTTTTCGGGGACCTGGCAAGCTTGCCAGCAGTGGCTGCCTCTCCTCAGCCAGCCCTAGGGAGGAGGGCTAGGAGGCCCTAGGGTTTTAAACCCACACCATAATCCCAGTTGTTCCCATCCTTCTCACACCCCCTTTGGCTGCAGCACTTGGCCCTGGCCAGTCCCCGGAAGCCCTCTCCCTTCTCCCCGAGTCTGCTGGGGTGGCTGAGCAGACTCCCTCCTCCCCCACACACACACTTCTTCCTGGGAGGACTCCTCACTGGAGTCTCCTGTAAACCAGAGGGCCCCAGGTGGCTCCGATCCCCGCCCCCACCAGCCGGCTTACCAATTCGAGGTTCTGTCTGTTACCGTAGGCAGCGGCATAGTGGACAGCGGTGTATCCCTGCTTGTCCCGGAGCGACGCGTCAGCACCACTGTCCAGGAGGAACTCTAAACAGCTGCATCGAGCACAGGGAGGGGGGGGTCAGAGAGTCGTCCCCACACACGCGCCTGCTGGGCTGGTGCTAAGTGGCTAGCAGAGCTTCCATGCAGACCCGAGACTCGCACGGCTCAGCACACGGGGCGCGGAACAGGGATGTCAGCGACTAGTTGACTGTCTGATACACGTAAGCATGTCGGATAGTCGAGGGGTGACTCGACTGGTCGCTCCCCACCTTGCTGCCTCTATCAGAGGCAGCAGGACCTGGTTCCCCCCCCGCACCATTCCCACGGGGGGCAGGGGAGTAGCGGGGGACTGGGCGTGAGGCAGGAATCAGCTGATTCCCAGCTTGCGCCCTGTCCCGACGCCATGCCTCTGCTTTTTAAATGTATCAAGAGCCAGCAGGCTCATGGCTGG